AAAGGAAACCAAGAACCTCGATGCGCTCAAGAATAACACGACCCCAAATCTAATTAAGCCTATAGCTGCTTACGAAATCAACGGAGACAAGTGCTTACTTTTCCCCTGGGCGGAGGGAGGTAGCCTGAGCAACTGCTGGAGATGTTGGAAGGCTGGTCCCCTCGATCCAGACGGGATGAAGTGGATCGTCAGTCAATTCAGGGGTATCTTCTTTGCCCTCGGCCAGCTGCACAACTCCAACTGCCGACATGGCGACTTGAAACCCGACAACATACTATGGTTCAAGGATGCACGAAATAAAGGCGAGCTTCAGATTGCTGATCTCGGCCTAGCCACATTTCACCAACTGGACGCTGACACCAGGAAGAGAGAGGAGCTCGTCATTCAAACCACGACACCAACGGGCACTCGTCGCTACCAGGCCCCAGAAACGGATGGAGAGCAGTATCATCGTAGCAATCCGCCTCGCTCAAGATCATATGACATGTGGTCAATGGGCTGTGTCATGTTCGAGTTGCTCATATGGCTGGCATACGGTAACGACGATGTTGAAACTTTTCAACGAAGCACGCCCGACTTCTTTTGGGAACGGGTCTCCAGTTCCACAACTTTGACCAAGACATACCGCATAAATCCGGTTGTGAAACAATGCATTGGTATTATGAGAAAAGATTGCCCACGCAACACGGTTTATGGAGACCTTTTTGATCTTATCAGTCGTCAACTTTTAGTCTTTAATCCATCAAATGATCAAATTCCGTCCGAGGCACACCGTTTGACCGCCCACGAGGCAGAGGCACTCCTTGACGATATCAGCAAGCGATTGGAAGATCCGTGGTACATTCCATTGCGGTCGTCCAGGTGTCCTCGGCTCCAACGCAATGGTGGGCTCTTTCCATCAGATCAGCGACCCCGAAACAAGGCGGATTATCAAGAAGTAAGAGCAAGCTAGCCTTGATTTACACCCAAAAAAGTTCTTGAGACTGACAAGGGACCTTGAAGTATGTAGGTAAAGTCTTAGTGGATGGCTTGCGCAAATGACCACTGCTAACTATCACCTTTCTTTCCTCCCACGTAGAACATAGTAAGTACCAATAACTGCGCAACGCGCCAGCTTGCCTCCAAGAACCCAAGTACCCTTTCTAACCAACTCTAGATCGTAAGCGTTGCCTTTCCGAAGTCTAGGCAAGATACCGGCCAGCTAATGTGCACCAGCTAGAAAGCGAGTTCAACGATGTATGGGATTCGACCCCAGATAAGGACCTTGCAGCGGAAATTTCTAAGACCACTCTTTGGCGTCAGTTGCAGCCAAGCCGGGGTGGCGACACGAGGTTATGCAATCGATGCACCGCGATGAAGATGTCCTTTTCAGCTGGACCTTGGGCATTTCAACAGGGATGTGGACTATGCAATCTCGTCCGCCAGGCTCTTCAACGGGCATACATGCCGCTGTTGTCAAGACTACAATTTCAGCGCGGTACAATACGCGTAGAGAATGGCTCGGATCTGCTCTCGATTTACAAACCGCCAGGTATTTGAATGTTCCGCATAGTCCATCACATGATCCAATTATTGACGATGGAATCAGGAAGTACCTCCCGAGGCGAGGCGCAGGAAGGCCTACCGATGCTCCCCACTCAGGCAAGTCCTGAACAGTTCACCCTGTTGAGCGAGTGGATCAGGTCATGCGATTCCGATGCGTCTCACGAGGTATGCCGCCGCAGCAAGTATCGCGATGTCACTAGTTTGCCGACACGTCTCATTGACGTACGCGATGGACTTCGCCTTGTGCCATCCGATTCAGTGCCAGTTTCTGATTACGTTGCTCTGAGTCACTGCTGGGGGAAACTCGAGAAACATCAAAGGTTTTGCCTCTACAAAGACAATATCAGCCAACTGCAGAGATCGATCCAGTTTGAGCGGCTCCCCCAGAATTTCAAAGACGCTGTAACCGTTACCCGAGGCCTTGGGGTCAGATATCTCTGGATCGACTCTATTTGTATCGTTCAGGACGATGCGCAAGACTGGGAAGTGGAGTCTTCCAAGATGGAAGAAGTCTTCAGCTCCGCATATGTGACCATAAGCGCAGTGTCCGCCAAATCATCCCTAGACGGGTTCTTGGGAGAAAGACCCTCGCGGGCCTGTGTTCAGGTTCAGGCGGATGGCAAGCAGCCTCTTTATGTGTGCCCAGCCATCGATGACTTCCACCGGGATGTCGAACTCGGAGAGATCAGCAAGCGCGGCTGGGTGTTCCAGGAAAGAGCGCTTTCACGCCGCACTATTTACTACACCTTGACACAGGTGTATTGGGAGTGCGGAGCAGGCGTCCGCTGCGAGACTTTGAGGCGTCTCTACAAGTGAGTTCCACCGGTAGAGATGATGGACAATTTACTAACTATGTGCGTTTAGCTCCAAGGCCGCATTCCTCGGCGACGCAAACTTCCCCCATTCAGCGCTCAACCATTACAAGGATGGCCGGCAGATGCTAATCCAGGACTTATACGAGCGTTACTCTGCTCTGGACTTTTCGTATGCATCAGACCGAGCAGTCGCTATACTGGGTCTTCAAAAGCGATTGGCAAGAGCCTTCGAAACTCGGGCAACATATGGACTGTTTGCGATATACCTGCATCGCGGGCTCCTCTGGAGGCGAGATCAAGCCGAGCCAATGAAAAGCATTGCACAGCCATCAGGCCGCTACGTGCCGAGCTGGTCATGGTTCTCCAAGATAGGCGCTATCAGGTACATGGATCTTAAGTTCGACAGTGTCAAATGGACAAATGACATTGAAAGTCCCTTCATCGGCGAGGCGTCCGGAGGTTCAATGGGCTTTACCGGCATGAGGACTGCCAGCGGTTCTCCAGTTGTACGCGTCCTGGCCAAGGATTTGAAGCTCTCAAAAGCTGAGCTTTTGAAGAGCGCCATATTTGACGATGGGGACGATTTCGAGGTTCATGAACTGTTATTTGCTGTCATTGGCTGTGACAAAGATGAGAATAGCATGGAGGTACAGATTTCACACGGTCTGATCATACGGAAGCTCATAGAAAACTTGGATCAACGTACTCAGGGCACATACGAAAGGGTGGGAGTAGCATCTTTGAGGCCAAGTCAGATCATGGACAGCGAATCATGGGTAAAGGTTTGCTAGGTTGTCAGGTATTCTCGTTGATGTGAATTGAACGTTGGATAGCCTTCAAAAGAAGGAAAGATATTCTTTAAGAACCCCACCCAAGCCTTGGATCACCCCCAACCTCGAATCAACAGCAAAACTCAGCGTTTTATACTACTTATAACTCTATAAGTATTAGTAATTAAATTATATAAAAAATACTATAATTCTTAGAAAACTTAGGAGAGTTTATTTATATATTATATTATTACGTAATACTATAAATAAAGAGCTTTATTATAAGTTATAGAAATTTATATAAAACTTATAATTAAATATACTAAATATAATATATATTATAAATAAGTATTATATTTAATTAATATAGTATATAAAGTACTAATAATATATATAGTTACTAATTTTAGATCTATATATAAAGTTTTATATAGACTTCTATAGTATTAAGGATTTACTAGTAATTACTAATAAATCCTTAACATTTTATTCTATTTTCTAAATAATATTTAGTAAATAGAAATATATCTAAAAAAAATAAAAAGAATAAATATATAGCTTTATATAGTACTTAGTTACTATATATAATTTTAATATAATTATTATACCTATGTTTATAGAGATATAGTACTTAGAAAAAGTAGTGTTTTAGCTGTTTTATATGCACGTGCGCTGATCCGAGGTTGGGGGTGATCCGAGGCTTGGGTGGGGTTCTTATAATGTCCTAGCATCTTCGACGCCAATTTTACGACGGATAATTAATAGTTTGTTCCAGTCTATGAATGCGCTGTTCTGCATTACGCTGAAGTCTGAGACCGTATGCCGTGCGGTTCACTCTGGTCAATGGAGACAACAGCAGTCTATTCTAGAGACCGCCTCATTCTCCTGTGTCTGCGTACATTTCACGTATATTTCATTACTCCTATCGTCCTCGATAGTATAGGTGATAATAATAACAATAATAACAGCGACGACGATAGCAGCGAAGACGATAGCAGCGACGGGGATAGTAATGACGACGGCGACGATGGCGGCGGCGGCAAAGAGTAGTCGCTCTAGCACAGGAAACTCAGGCGGTCCCTAAATCTGGCTCTACAACATGGTTCTACATGTGGCTCCACAGTCGTGTCGCATTCTCAGCAAGTCTGTCTCAATGTCTTAGAGATATGACATGGCCTTGTACTTTTTATGGCATCATCTTGGGGGCTGGCGCGAATGCAACCGCTTTGATATCTTACTTTTTTCAACTGGGCTGCAGCCGCGGCTGTTATGCACTGCAGAGTGATAAAACAGGCACTAGAACGTCTGATTGAGCGGCACAGCAAATCCTACGAGGTATTTCTGTCGCCATCGAGCGCGGCTGACCTGCATGAGGAGTCGCATTACGCTGACCAGTCAGATGCCAGTTTCGTTTCAAGCTGCCTTAGTTCATAGACTTGCCGGCTAAGACGCATGGATGGCTAGAATCCCAACAAGAAGCAAGTATCAGGCCATCGGCGATGATCTATCACACCTCCAGGTTGGGTGGGACGACGTTTGACTTTATTTCCCGATGCTGAGCGAACCGACTTCGCTTTGCTTTTGGGCCAAGGGCGCTGGATTGGGATCAACATTGGCACGTCGACGCTGTACGGATACGTACACTGAATTGGCGACAGACAAGGGTGACATTGTTCAACGTTACATCAAGAAACCATCGATCAATTTCACATTCACATGGAAAAGTTACGAAGCACAAGGATTAAGTGAAAGACTTCTGTAATTGCGAACAAATGGCCCTGCTCGGAGCCTTTCTATAATATATATACAAGTATCATAAGATCGTATGCATCATAATGTGGTATCCTGGTTGCATCCCGTGCAAATGCGCTTACTGGACAGCGACGGCGGCGACGCCGGTGCCGTAAGCGATGTTGGTAACAGGCTGGTCCTTGAGAGCGGTCGTGACGCCGAGACCGCTGGGGCAGGAAGCCTGGTTGCTGACAGCGAGGTCGAGGTTGCAGAGCTCGTCAACGCCCCAGGTGCAGGCAGAGTTCTGAATGTTGTAGAGAGCGTAGTTCTTGGCGACGAAGCTGTTGGGCTGGGCCAGGCAGGAAGCAAGGTAGTTCATGCTGTTGGCGGCAGAGAGAGGGAATTTGCCGTTGTCCTTGAGGAGGAAACCGCACTCGCTGGCGGGTACGGCCTCCCACTCCATGGAGATGGGACCACCCTGGCTGGGAGCCTCAGCGGCGCCCTTGCCGGTGCTGAGGTAGTTCCAGGCGTCGTAGGAGATGTCGTAGGCACCGCCGGACTGGTCGATGCGGAGCAGGTGGACGTAGCGCTCGCCGTTGGTGACCTTGACGCAGATGTCGTCGCAGCCGACGGAGTTGGGCCAGTAGGCGACGCGGTTGGTGTTGATCTTGCAGCCAAGAACGCCGATGGAGGAGGAGAAGGCGTCGTGGGGGGTCATGCCCGCGGTACCGGCCTTGCCAGAGTCGCGGATCGGGATGGAAGCGGCGGAGACCAAGCTGGCCGAAGCAGCGAGGATGGTGGTGAAAGCGGTAGCGAACATATTGGCTGTTGTTGAAGTGGAAGATGTGAAATCTGAATCTGTTCCTAAAATGGGTCGGTTGCCGGGGTTGAAAGCTCGAGATCGAGGTATGAGATTCTTTCTCAGAAAGACTGGATGTGGTATGCTTGCAAAGGAGTGAAGCTAGTAGTTGGTATCAAGGAGTGATTCCTGATCTGTAGAGCTTTCGGTGCCGGCCGAGGGAGTGACTGGAGGAAGAGAAGAAAGAGTAAGGATGGTTGGTTGGTGATCAGAACAGAAGCATCCTGGAGAAGATGAAACTGGGGGAGCTTATATATGAGAGTCCCATGTCTGCAAAACGAACGGATGGCAAAGCTGAATAACAGCGTTGTACCCAGGGGAGATGAGATGTCACCCACACGGACGACGAACCAGAGTCCAATGCTCGGTCCATCTACGGAGACCCACGCAGCAGGCGTCGGCGACTCCACAGCTACGCCGCAGTCGATGATGACGGTCGGCTGAAATGATCCTTTGGGGGAAAAGTGAGATTGAGAGAGTCAGCGAGGGCCGAGGCTGTGGGTGCCTCCCGACCCGCAGGCGCGAGTCGGGTCGAGCTGGTCAATCAAAAAGTGCCAGGAATCTGACAAGCAAGTCGTGGAACCACTGGAAACGTCCCTGACGCTGCGGTGATCCATCGCAACATGGAGAAACAAGGTCACAAACAGAGTTGTCAGAGCCCTAATTGAGGGGGTGGAAGAGCGCAACGCTAGGCCGGGAACGCCCCTCGAGAAGGTTGAGTTTTCAAGCCCATTGTGAACGGTTTCGGGGAAATCAGCCATGAGGAAACATGGCCAAGGCCCAAGAGGGAAAGGAGGATGCGCGCTGTCAGGGGTGAAAATCGCTCATGGGTCCCCTTCGGACGACCGAATAGAGTTTAGTGACAGGAACCGCCAGGAACCAAACGTTCTTTGGGCGCCGGACAAGGGAGTGCCCAAGCCCCAAAGGAGCCGAGGGAAGGCCTAGTTACTGTTAGTACGAGCTAAAGGGGGACCAAAGAGGCGGCACAGCGGGGGCTACGGGAGTCAGGAAAGGTGGTGGACGGCACGGCACACGGGAGTCATGTTGGTTTGCGTGGTGCTTGTGTGTAGCTTGCCCTAGGCACGCACGGTAGTGGGTTGTTGAAGGGTTTGCTGAATTGTCGGTGGACGGACGATACAAAGGATTCATGGGACGGACATGGGATGGCGATGGGACGGACATGCGTGCGATGTGTCATGTGCTCGTCCGCCAACAGACACGTTTGCATGTCGCTTTTCCCCTCTACTTGGGCTGACGGGACGGCGGATCAACGACGGCACAGATGGATCATGCAGGTACACGGCGCACCGCTCAGCGGGAAACAACGCAGAGAAGCAAGGAAAAAAGCCGCGGACGAAACAGAGGGCCTGGAGTGAGCGTGGGAACCTGACGCCACGCGGTTCCAGCCCTGACGCTTGACTCGGCGCGGAACAGTCGGCGGGCCACCCGCAGAACCGGACTTGCTGGTCCATCCAGTCGGAACGAGAGAATTCGCATCCAGAAGCCTTGGAGCAGCCACGACAACGTAGCTTTGCAGCGATCGTCAGGGCGGATTTCTCAGAAAGATGCGGTGCAACCGTACTTTGATACCAAAGGAAGTAGACTTTTCCTCAGAAACCGCTCCCACTGGTCCACGGCAAGTCCCACAAGGCTCCAAGCCTGGGCGCCTTTTTGTGCCAGCTGTTATTTTGCTTTTTGCTCGTCAAAACTTTCCAAGGAACCAAGACACCAGGTCACTCTTCCACTTCCAAGCCACCAAGCACATGGCACACGGCACAGCTGAGAGACTTGGTCGTGTGGTACTCCCCGCTTCCTCTGCCCAGTTCTCCCGTCCCGCCGCCAGCTTCCCACGCCGTCAGCCGGGCAGAAAACCTCTCGTCCCAGCGGTCCTGATGGATGCGTGACGGCGCGTTGGCGTCATGTCGGCAGCTGGCGATGGGTCTCACGACGTTCTGGCCAAAAGTGCTTGCAGCTGTATCCATCCAGCGGAGACGGCCGGCTTTCGCCAATGGGATGAGCCGCATTGTAAGAGGGCGCAGCAAAAATTGATAGGCCGGTACTTTTATGTAACGAGAAATGTCTTACAGTGGCGTTGCTCAAAGGCGGCAACCGGTATGCAACCGGTAGAAACGCCAGGATCTTTTGGATTCCCCTCACGAGAATTTTGCGATTTCATTGTTCATTGTCAGTCTGCAAGTTTTTCTTCTCATAGTCGCTCGCAATAAGTCCGAAAGATCTTACAAATTGAGCGATTTTATGTCCGTACCTCTCCCGACACTGGCACTTGCCGAGACCCGTGAGGAGTTCTAGCCTCTGTGCCGCTCGGCTTCCCAAGATCCGTCCCGGCAGCGGAGATGCCTCCGCCGTGCGGTCTTTTGTTCACCATGATTCAGTCGACGTCGGCAAATCTGTTTTTGAGCGCATATTAGTCATAATCGTCAAGATCTTGGATCGGGCAGATTGTTCACCCGCTGGATGCATGTGATGATGCTTAATAAGTACTTGTTCATGAATCTTATGTCATCCTATCAGTAAGCCTGGTGGTACATGCATGATATCTGTCTCTTAATTAACATCAGCAACTGCGAGTGGCGACGCCCGCGTTGATGGACAAGTCAATGACAGCAAACATGCCATTTCCCCGCAACCAGTAGAAACCGCGTTGTAAGTGACACGCTGCAGATTCAGACGTTAGGATGCGGGGATGGCAACAATCGGAAATCCAGAGTCAGAGGTTTCACCGCAGAGTGTCTCAAAGATAAAGTCTTGTGTCCCAGTCAGCTGGACTGAAGCGCGGCATCACAGCATACAAGGGAGAATATGACACAGGACTTTCGCCTAAACATGCCAGCTTGCAATTGTAAAATCCAACAAACCACCCACGACGAAGAGGCCTTCGGGACTTGTGAGTCAACCCTCCACAGCAAGGTCCCTGCAACATACCATGCGAAGGATCAAGGTCATGACTGTATTTCAATTGCGCCATATAAGATTAGTGCCGAGAATCAAACAAAGAGTGCGGACTTTCTCACCTTGGTCGTAAGTCGGTCGAAGCCTTCGCTGAGTGTGACACTGATGTGAGAGGTTCCTCAGTAGATAGGCAGACTACCCAAAGACCAACCCATAACTGAGTGTACTAGCATGACTTGAAGATCATCCTCTAGGCCGTGGCGCTTCAGAATCTCAGCTAAAACCTGCATGATTCCGTCGACCTTTCCCACGGTCAGGCCATCATAAGAGGCGCCGACGGTAAGCGCATTAATACTAGAACCCGTCTTCAGGTCTCCATGAGCCATTGTGGCTATGAGGAGGGACTTGGTTTGAAACTTTTCTTCCAGTTCAGTACCAATATCTTTGTGAAGTGCTGTTCGCACGATGTCGACTTTGTCCCTGATAGAAACAGGGAGATTGCCAAGTATGATATCCCATTTGGGATCGAGTGGGAATGATGCTGCAAACGTTCCCATCCAAGGACCCCTTTCGACTGTCATGGCTTGATCTGTGGGGCTGGGGTTGGGCATGGTGAAAAGTCGTGACAGGTTGTTGTTGAGTCCCGTCAGCAAAGGACTGATGTGAGGGAAGATGTACTGTGGAGTAATTCGTGGATGCAGAATGGCTGATAGATGTAGGAGGGAAAGAGTTGTGGTTACACGTGTTGCAAACGACGATATTTATGGTCGTTGACGGAGAATCGGATAAGACACAAATTTAAATTCACACGCCACAAGATCTTAAGCGCATGGATTGTGTCTGCGGACTGCCCAGGTTCTCAGTGCACTACGCTTCACGTGATGCGTCACATCATATTACGACAGCAGATTCTTACCGCATTGCAGGAAAGTTTTATTCTTTTGGGTTCTCGTTAATCCTGAAGTATTTGTTCGGAACTTATCTGAGGAAAGTAGACGGCGTCGTTTATTAGCAGACTGCGGGTGGGGGAGAGACACGTGCATCCATTCCGTAAAGGTGTCAATACATAGATGGATTTTCATCGTCTTTAGAATATTTCTTTCACCGTGAGAGTCATACGACAGTCAACAAGGTGCGCCTCCAGGCGGCGAACTGCGAAGAAGAAAAGGTAGAAGGGAAGAAATATTCATCGTCTTTGTTGTTTACACCAAGGTGGCTAAAAATTGACTTAGATGCCCACAATTATCCGTGCCATTGAATACGCAAATGATAACAGAGTCGGTGTTCGGTTTGATGACACCGCTCAATACTCTGAGCGACGAACATCAAGACGAGGACTAAAGCTCTTTATCACGTGGTAACTAGATCTTCCGATTTCTCAGCTCGCTAAGTTATGAATATCTGGTATCATTAAAGGCCCTATTCAATATTATATAGTGCTGAATTACCGTTTCCCGGTACCACGGGAAGTCACATTCCGAGATAAACAGATCTTCTCGCATTTCATTTAGCTAAATCATCTCAGGTCAGTTTCATCACGACATCCTGTCTCATCGAAGACAAGTTGAAAGTCATTTGTAGAAACGTGGCATGCCACAAATCTGTGTATTATTGTCCTCGGGTATTGTACGCTAGCGTTGTCTGACTTTGACAGGTAGAATTTGTACAACCGCACTTTGAAGGCGCTTTCGTTCACGCTCCGAGTTCTCGCTTCAACTTGCTCCCTCAATTTTCCGATACTTCAGCCAAGTGACTTAGTTGGAGCAGAAGGTGGCGGCAATGGTGATCTGGCAGTGTCCAGAGCAACAGTCGCCGTTGCTGGTGCAGGGCTCTGTTTCAAGAGATAATCAGCATTTGTTCTCGCGAACATCTACGACCAGAAATCCAGCCGTTTTGGGTGACAACAGGAGAGCTTCGAGTATAATTCAAGAATCACTCACTTCCACCAACGGTGCAGCGTTGCTCCAAGATCTCAGCCACGGGAGCGGCAATGGCAGGAACAGCGGCAGCCAGGACGGCCAAAACAGTGGTGAGGGTAGAGAACTGCATTTTTGCGAGTTGGCGGTGATGAGCCGAGAGAACCGGTATGGGGATTTGATGAAGTATCTTGAGCTTGATTGAGCGAGAAGACCAAACTCGATCACTTGGCGCAACAGTCCATCATTTATAGGCAAACTTGCTGATCCCACCGGCGTGAGGCAACTCATTCTCGCGGAAAGCTTCCCAGTTCCAAGCTCACCGCCAGTGGGATATCCTGTCGATCACATCTCATCTAATCTTATCAGATGAACCAAACCCAATGTTGAGTCTGTCTCCAGAGCGGGGTTGCCGGTGGTATATAGCAGTCATTGGCTGCTTCGATCATTCTGCATCAAGACTGATATATCGGATGCTCCTTTGGGATTACTATGATGCATCGACCGGTGGGATACCGAGGGGATGAACCACTCTTATGCATAACCGACTCGGAGTTCCCAGATCTAGCAGGTGCTACCCACTTGCCGATGTCAGAGATCTTGATCATAAGGGTTCTCAAGGAGACGAGAGTAGTAGGCCCCTGGTCAGCAGGGTCAGAGAGTGACCCGAGCAGGTAACCGGAAGTGCAAGCGCTAGGTAGCCACAATTAAGCTTATTCAATGATATTTGCAAGGATGTTTGCCACCCATCTGTTTTCGAGGAGCCAGTCGTTGGGTATCTCGGCGTGTCAGAACAACTACATTAATCAACCATGACCAACTGTCCAGCCGATCTCCCATTCGAAGTTCTAGCCACAATCACCAACATGATTTGATCCCTTGGGACCTTTCCAGGAGTCGTGTATTTCTCCATCACAGGTTCCCGCTCCAACTCAGCTTGCCAATCCCACCTGTCCCCGTCGATCTCAACCGGGGAAGACAGCTCGCCATTGGCATATACTTGGATGTTTGCGGTAACCACAGCAGGATCGCTCGCACGAACCGAACCCCTGATCAAAATCTTTCGGATCTCCAGACCTATTCCAGAAACATTCTCTACGTGGAGGATTTCGATCCTCAAGTCCGGACTGACGCTTCCGCGCAAAGATCCCCCGGAAAGCTGTACAACGTCGGTTTGCAGCCGAGGCGTGGCTGGGGGACTTTCTCTGCGTCTTGTCGCAGTCTCGTATGCATACGCATATCGAAGAAGATCACTATCACTCCAGCCCTTTCCAGCAAAAGTCAGGCCAACGGGCATTTTTTTGTCAGATAGAGTCCCCATTGGCACCGTCACCGCCGGCACACCGAGGTGCTTCATCGCGCGATTGCCATTGGAATACTTCACGCCATCTTGCAGCGTATGCAGCATTGAATCGCGCTTCTCCTCGGAGTCAGCCCTTCCGACGTCACCATTGGTAGGGAAGACGAGGACGTCGAACTTGTTCTCGTCCATCCAATCCTCCAAGTCTCTCTTGCGGGCGGCCTCCAAGGCTACCAACGCTTCGGCACATCCGGGCAAGTCCTGGATCTTTTCGGGCCGCTTGCGAATAAAGTCAATCATCTCCTCGTATCGCACGTGATTTTGTTGCTCGGTGAACTCTGCAGGGTCATCCATTGGCGCAAATCCGGGGTTGATCTTTCGGCTATCCACGGTCTCTAGGCGCGGATAGGCTGGGTCGTTGTTGTACTTGAGAAAATCATCCCATGCGGTGGCAATCATTTGGCATCGCTCGGTATCCATCCACGTGTCTGGCATTCCCGGCACGTTGGCGGCCTGTCCTGGGAAGTCCTGCTTGGAGTAGTTTTCGACCATGGGAAAATCCGTCTCAATTATGGTCGCCCCTAGCGTTTCCAAATCGGCTCGAGCCTGTTCCCACAGTAGACGTGTGGCTTCTGTACAAGCTACCGAGTAGCCGGACGACGTCTGCTTTCCGATGTAGCATCTTGGAACGGCGATGCGTCTGCCCCTCAACGAGTCAGGGTCCATGAGATTGCTGTAGCTACGAGGACGAAGGTCTGAAACCTGGGGGACAGGAACAGTTGTTTGTTCCCGCCAAAAGTCGCCTCTCGGGTTCTTGTCGTCGACGACAATGACATCCAAAACTTTGAGTATATCTGCCACTGACTTGGTGTAGGGTACGACAACGTCACAGGTGGGATACAACGGCCAGAGTCCTCGAGAAGGTATGAGCCCTCTTGAAGGGGAGTAAGCAACGAGAGCATTGTGCGAGGCCGGCGCTCGACCTGATGAGACGGTTTCGCTGCCAAAGCTAATGGGAGCAAACGACGCCGTGGTAGCCACGCCAGATCCGTAAGATGAGCCGGAAGCGAAGCTGGTGCAGAGGTATTCCGGGTTGTAAGGGCTGATAGATCTGCCGTAGAGGCCTCTTTGACTGCCACCATCAGCCATAGGTGGCATATTAGTCTTTCCAATGAGCACGGCGCCAGCCTCGCGTAGAAGCTTCACGACTGCCGCGTCAGATGATGAGACAAGGTGTTCGAAAGCTGGTGAGCCTGCGGCCACTGTAAGACCCTTGGCTTGAAAGCTGTCTTTTATGGTGAAAGGAATGCCTTCGAGGGGTCGCGGCGGCTGCCCCGAGGCTCGGTAGGCATCTGATGCTTGAGCTTCTTCAAAGACCTTAGGGTTGAGGACGCAGATCGAGTTGAGGAGAGGGCCTCGGCAGTCGTATTTTCCAATGCGATGTAGGAAGCGTGCCACGAGGTCAACACTTGTCAATCTTGTCGTGGACAGTGCATGTTGCAACTGGCCGATAGTTGCCTCCGTGATGTCGAGAGTATGCAAGAATGTCATCTTGGTTGGTGCCGGTGATTTCAACCTGAGCAAACGAAACAAGCGATTGCCGATGATTCAAAGGGTCCGAAATTGGAAATGCAACAATTCTTAGCCTTGAGCGAAAGATTTCTGCCAAATCACCCATTTTATACGGCATCTTGAGCGAGTCTCTCGCGAAGCCCAACTGATGTTAGTGACTGGGAGGGAATGTCGAGACGATGTCGAAGCTGAAGGTGGAGACGAGGGAGGGAAGGTCGAGCCGGATTTGGGAGCGAAAATGCCCAAATCGTGCTAAACACCACCATCCACAGCCTCTAATTGGTCAGCGCCGATTCCCGAGTCTCGCGAATTTCCGCGCACCGCTACTTCGACCCGGAAATATCCATCGATATCGGGACGCAGTCCGAAATGCTCGGATTCACCCATACGACCGCCTGTTTGATAAAGGCTGATACGATTGTTCTGCGGCAATTTCAAGTGTGGCTGCGCAGCTCCGTGAAGTGGGCGGCGCAACTTCACTCAGTGGGCCATGCATGTCTACATCAACGCCGTCTTCAGCTATGAGGCATGTACAAGATTTTAGCGGTTTTGAGAAACATGACTTAGGATCAAATTCGCCAAGTCGAAGAATCGTGTGTTAGAAGTAGAGCCATACGTGTAGATAAGAGACATAGCCAGTTTCCGACAGACGAAATGTCGGCTGCGGCTGTGGTTTCGTGAATGATTGCCTAAGAAGATCCTTCCATTCTCTTGTTCGTCAACGAAGCCTAGATCTTGGCTGCTCACGAGAAGACAACCTATTCTGCGTCGAGTCTTCAGTAACATCAGGTTTGATTTCAGCGTAGAACCGACTTTTTTCCGTTTTAGGAAGTAGCAAGTCGTTGCCGTCAATCCACCAGATCGTCGCGCTAAGGTGTCAGCTTGCACTCCATTATCTCAAAAAGGCAACAAGCCTTTCCCATAGCCACATAATTCCTAGCCTCTGAACTGTGGCATTGTCCAATCAGCACAAGTCCGAGGCTCTCCAGCCACTGGACCGTCTAGGTAGCCTTCAAACAGAGGTCAAATTACGCATGCCAAGTCTTCAGCTGCCAGGCATGTTCCAACTCGTCGACAGAAAAGCTCCATGATATTGATGGCCAAAGTCCGCTTCACTTCACGTCATCAGCCCTACAGATTACCAACCCTAGTGAATGTCAGCATTCAAGCATGGCTAAGCAGCGCTGGCTGTGTCTATCAGCGGCAACTGCGGGCGCCAAGCAGGATGTCTTACCCTGAATAATACCGATAGAGCTTTTATCCAGCAGGTATGCTGACATCGGTGGCTTCCAGGTTGAAGATAAAATAATTGCCGAACCCCCTCCATCACAGGTTCTCGATTTGCAACACGCTACTCACCACTAATTCATTAAATTACCGGTAGTCTCTACATCAAATCAGTAGCAAACCCAACGAGCATCATGCCATTTTTGCAAAAGAGCGACGAGCCTCCGCCAACGGGGCCGCCATGCGAAGTCCTTCGCATCAACAAGCGCTTCGGCGGCGCCCAAACGACGATCGACCGCATCGACCCGGTCACTGGCTTCGCGACACCATTCTACATCCTACACAACAATGACGAAAAATCCATTGCCGTGATCCACGCCGATCCCCGCGCACAGCAAATGTCAGATCAGGCCCTTGCAACAGCACAACGGCACTCGCTCTCCTCAAAGATCGATGTTGTCTTTCGCGGCATGCCATTCAAGATGAAAGGAAACGATCTAGGCATGGGGCACGATTTTGATTACATGGGCGTGCGGTACAGCTGGAGGCTGTCGAGTTGGACTGGCTCCACAGGGACAATTTTCATGGAGGATGCGAATGGGAGGCTGTTGGCGAGGTGGAAGAGGAAGCCTGACGGGAACGGAACGAGCCCGACTTTTGAGGTGTACGTGCCGCCACAGAGTATCGATATGGACATGGTGATTGTGACGGGGTTGGCTTCGATTCAGTATTGGGTTAAGGAGAAGAAAGATACCGTTGCAGTAGTGGGGGATCTTCTCGGGGCGTCGTTGTGATGACACACGGAGTTATAGTTTTGTTTTCCAGTCGTGTCATCTCAGATGTTCATGGCGACTCGCAACTATTGAAATTAATCAGCAAGGTTTCCGATCTTCAGCATCTGTACTGGATTGCAGAACTGTGGAATTCACGTCAGGTTTAAGCCCAAATTATGAGCACCAGTAGGGTGAGAACAATTCTTGTAACAGTTGAAAGATCTATCAACATGTTCTTTGAATCTCAAGACATCCACCGTAACCCATGGTACTTATTACCGGTTTTGAAGCTTGCTTTTGCCAGCATTTCGTCCCATCTTCCTCCGCAAGGCCCCAGAGGTCTTATCAGCAAAACAGGAAGGCGCACATCTCGACATTATTTCACAACCTAGGTCGCTCCTTCTCTTCGATACTCTAAGCGGTTCGACTGAAAGCAAAAGTTTGCTCTTGCCCTTTCCCATCCAACCCTTGCCCCCACAAGCGTTTCCTTTCTTTTCCAAACCTCTCACTCTCCAGTCTGTCGCTCCCACAACCACGATAGCTTCAAGCAACCTATCTTCTCGCACAAGCAGTCTCTCCTTGATCTTCAAGCTTCCAACGTCGCTCTTCATTCATTATTCTTTTTGACATTCTCACGTCCTTACAACCTGCACAATGGATACCTATTTCGAGCGCCTCTTCACCTTCCACACCACGGGCTCAGAGTCTGGCGACGGCGAGGGCATGAAGTGGCCCATCAACACCCTCCGCCCCGAGGACATGGCTGGAGCAGGTTTCTACTACACCGGTATCGAAACCAAGACATCTGACAGCGTTACCTGCTTCTCGTGCCAGATGCAGGCGTGGAAGTGGAAAAGGAAGGACAACCCTTTCACCGAGCACTCGACAGGCTCGCCCAAGTGCGAGTACGTCACCACCCAGCAGTTCGACGACCGCCACAACCTTTTCCTCATGGAGAAGGAGGGCAAGAAGGCCTCCAAGCAGAGCAGCCCTGACACCCTGGACGGGCCTGCCACTCCCCCCGAGACGCCCACCAAGCCCAAGACTATCAGGAGACCCAAACGCAAGATGGCTATGTCGCCCATCGTCACTATCTATGACAGCGCTCCTGCCGACAACCAGGCACAGAATGCAGTTCACCATGACACCGGCAGGCAGCCCGTTGAGATTGCCATCACCGCGGGTAACACCAAGTTCACCATCCAGGTGACCGATGTCAGCCCCAGAGGTACGTTGATCCGACATATTACTCATTCGACACATCGCTGACATGTACAAATAGGCAACAAGCGTCTTCGGGTCGATTAGAACGTTGAAGTCGCAACTACTTCGCCTCATTTCTCGTTGAATATCAGGCGGACAGTGACTGATCCGCGCCACTTGCTGAAATACAGTCAGTCACACCACAAGACCTCGTAAGGCAAGAAGAGCAAGGCTGACTTTTGCGCAACAGGATAAACGCATTTACACTTGTCCACGACGCGATGCGGTATGACGACATTGCTCAATACATTTGCTAAGATATCACACGCCTTCCCAACCAACTTTAGGAGTCGCGGGATCGTTTCCGGTTTGCTTCCAATGAACCACACGACACCCACACCGGTGGTTCGAAACGGAGGAAGAGGCTGTACCACAATTTCTACTTACACACTTGCTACGGTCCACAGGACAGATGTTGAGGATATTGAAGGATTTGACTGCACGTGGTTGAAGGATGCGTGGCAAACGGGAGGAAAAGGAAAATCATCCGTCGAGTCACACATTCGAATAGCTTCTTTCCAATATCACTCGCTTCCTAGCCTCAGATCCCCAAACCTGCGTGATGTCGAAAGTAGATGTGGCGAATGGTGTTCGCACCTGTCCCATGATGTGCGGTGAGACAAGCCCGCTCAAGACCCTCTGCGCAGATGCGGTCAACCCAGGCAGGCGACACTGACACCGCAGGCGGCAGCCACGTTGCCAAACTCACACAGATCAGCATCCTCAGTCTTTAAATTTACGATTCAAAGTGAAGAAAAGATTCGGAGGCTTGTGGGGTTGCGGGAGCTGACATGTAGCAAACATGCCTCAGACGTCAAACGACGATCGCCAACCTCACCGAGGGGGGCACATTTTCAAAAGCACATTGCATGCGAATCCTCCAAACAAGACTTGACATCCTACCCGCCAATCCCCAGGCTTGAGCGACATTCAACCAAGCAGCGGACGCCTCACCAATCCGCCCGCCGCCCATCCTGCCTGATTCAGCACTTTGAAGTCGGGCTGTACCACACACACTGGAAGCAGACGCGGGGAAGTAGAAGTAGAAATGGAAGTATCCGTACTAAGCTACACCTACCTCTCAGCGAACGAATGACAGAGACCGGCGAGGTCCTTCGGCCACTTGACTTGCGGGCATGTGGTGTGGTGCACCGCCGGGCGGGTGCGTGTGGTTTGCTTGTTCGCGCTACAGTGGAACCCGCTGTCAGGGGAGTGGAGGGCAACGGCCGGCGGAGTTTTTGGCTGCAGTGTGCTTTTGTCGGGTGCCTGTGTGGCTGCGGCGCGGGAGCGGGAGGTGAAGTGGCTCGTGACTTGACTGCCGTGCTGCGGCCGGGGCGGCGATGCGGCGGGCAGATGTGTGTGTGACTGTTTGAGAGTAGGTAGGCTGACAATGTTTGATGATGCCTAGACATATATAAATCACAGGCCAAGGTCGTTGAAGAAATCATCTAGATCTTGAGGCAAAGAGTCGAGAGAGGCAGTCATCAGAAAAGTCGAAGCCACAAACCACCAAGAAACCATCATCAACCACCACCAACAAACGGGAAACAACACACAAAAAACAATGACGACCGTCAGCCAGACATACCGACACGGACGCTCGGGGCGCAACCCGCTCAGGACAGTCTGGCGCGAGACGTACGAGGTCTGGGACGGCGTCTGCTACGGCGTGGGCAAGGCCTACTTCAAGATCACCGGCAAATGGTGATTGATTGATTCGCGCGCCGCCTTTTCTACAGCCATACTTTCGGGGGGTCTACGGGGGTCGCATACGCAGATTAATTCGCCGAGACGAGATACACGAAAAAAAGGGCTGAGTGGAATCAAGCATTTTTTGGTTTTCTTGTTTTTTTGGGACATCCCTCCCCCCCTTCTTTGACGATCGCGAACGATACGATACGATGGACGGACGGTGCGACGACACGAATGACGGCGGCGGGACGAACGCTACGCTGGGCAGATGAAGATTGACAAGATGGAGCGTCCACCGATGACGTCGGGCACTGGAACCGCAAGCACAGCAAGCACACTGTGGACAACGACCAAAAAATCTCGATCAGCGAGCGACTGAGCGCGACCCCATCAACTTGACACGGACTTGAGGGGCGGCCGTCGTGCTGGCTACGGGGGGAGACCCAGGGGCTGGTGCTGGTCGGCGCATGGAACGAGACGTCGGGTGAGGCGAGGCGGCGACCGGGGATTCCGCTGCGAGGAGGCCGCGGGAGGAGCGTTTGGTTCGAGGGAGGTTCAGCGGGACGGGTGGGATGAGGAGCTGAAAGACTGAAGGCCTGAGATGCAATGCTCAGCTGTGGTTGTTGTTGACGATTTGGATTGATTGAAACGCGGTGGTGGAGGGGCGAAACGCGGGTTTGCCAATAATAACAGCGTCAACCCGGGCAATCAGGGGGAGGCAGTAGGGACAAACGCGAGACTTTTTCGCTTCAGAGTTTTGGCGGGCTGGGATGAACATCAACGGGGCACAGCACAGGCACTGCCGGAAGTTTGATAAGCAATGCCAGAGATGGGGATGTGCGATGGATTTATTTTGGAGACACGATTGGTTGTTAACCTGTGAAGTCACAGAGACAGAGGATAGATTTAGAAACAAGAAAAACAAGCAATGATGAACATGTCGACTGGAGCAGGATTGTTGGATGATGGTGCTGCATGGCAGATGAACAAGTGTCGGTCGGTCCACTGAAAGACCACAATTATCGATTCAAAGTCACGGTCGTGCCAGGCCTGGCAGTTGTCTCTGCCTTGCACTGAGAACTGGACTGTAGGCAGTGAGTGGACTGTGAGCATGAACATCAAATTCCAGGTGGTGCCAATGAAGGCGGGTGACTTGTCGAATCGGGTGTGCTGGGCCAATTTCGGCTCCACTGGACGTCTTGTTTGGGCTAAAGCGCGTAAATTAACTTAAGGTGGCCCCAAGAAAAGAGAGTTAATTGACTCCCGCCGCCGTCACTATTTTTGTTGGTATTTTATTTCTACAGGCTGCTGCTGCGCACTGTACGTTTCTGACTCGGGTGGCCTGGGTGGGATGGTCCATGGATGGATGGATGGATGGTGGTTTCGTCGGAGACCTTGGAGGCCGTCCTGCAGTGTGCCTCGTATTCTTTTGGGGGTTGATGGCATTTCGATGTGTTGCTGCATCGATAATCGTCATTCTGCCTGACTTGGACTTGGGGTCGTCTGGTCTCGTCGTGATTGCGCTGAACTTTTCCCAAACTCAAGGCCAAAGTCTAAAATACGAAGGACGAGTGTGCAGTAGGGCTATGCAGCTTGGCACAGTAGCGTGCGTCGTCATAGAAGAACGAGATAGCAGGTCACCACTCACCAAGTATAGCGCAAGACATCGGACCGGTTGGTTCGAGGTTGATGGATGGATGCGCGATGGACGATGGGTGGCAGTTGGACGTGTGGGATGATTGGAGGTGGACGTCCGTGACAGTGCCTGTGGACTGGACCGAGATTGGAATTTGGCGCCAACGGCCCCTCTGTGAATCTCGCAAGCACCCAGACATGGTCTCCTCAGTGGATGGCGAGGAGTGGCTGTGGTGCAGGTCTACGGGAGATCTGGACCGTCCGTCGGCAATGTGTGTTGTGTTGTTGGTCTTTCGCAATGTTTGGTTTTCTTGGTTCGGCCAATGTTTGCATTGCCATTGCATGTGGTTCATTCTGATGAAGTGCCCCCGGGGGGAGTTAGGGGACACAGGGAAGGCAGACTGATGTGGAGCAATATCCGATGGCCGTATGTTGATTGTAATAATGATTGCAAGGAGTGCCGTCGGCCACTGATTTCCCATTCGACGTGTGTTTGGCCGAGCGGCCTTTGGCTGATGAGTTCGCATTGGCAGCGTTCTCCAAGATCTTGGACGGCCTGAAGGGGAGACGGTGTCGCGCTGGGCAGCGGCTGGGCGGTGGCAGCTGAAATGAGTTTGACTTTTTCAGCGATGTGAAGTCTGGCAGATGGAGGGGCGGGTTGACAACGGGAGTTGGGGTCTTGGGGGGATAAAAAGAGGCGCAGAATGGACGACAAGAAATGCCAATGCTTGGGCGGATTGATCTCTTGGCGGTCTTGACGCCAATTAAGTAGGCAGACCGTAGATGTTTAGATCTGTCGATGGTGAGTCGGTGCTTGGCGGCAATACTGCGGTAGCTTGTCGAGTGCTACTTGGGTATGGCGAAGGCAGGCGGCGGAAGTGATACAGAGGACTATTGGCGATGATTTACCGTTGGACCGTGACGGGCGGTACTCGATGCCTGCATCATTGACCGGAGGGATGTGCGATGATGGGTGGATGGGTGGATGGGGTGGTGGTGGGTGGTAGGGGGGCCGGCGTCCGTAGGTCCCGGTCTGGGAAAATCAGCCGCTACTCCAGGCCGAAGCTCACCTGTGTGGAGATTGCCCCTATTTCTCGCCATTTTGGCTAACGGCCTTGGGGGGAGAGCAGAGAGCGGTCATGGCATGGTGGTGTTGATGGTGGTGGAGAGGAAGAGGAAATGATGGCTTGTTAGCATTGTCCGTCGCAAATGGTGTGGCAGCCAGATAGAGCGGTATGTCGTCCGTTATGTCATCCGTCATTGCTGACCGTTTGCACACTGTGACGCACTGTGATGGACTGTGGCAGGCAGGAGGCTCTCACAGGCTTGAAACGAGATGAACCTGGCCTGGGCGGTTCCCGGGGGGGCCACTATGCAGTAGGTCTGGTCGGGAGAGTGATGCGTGATGCGTGACTGGGTACGCAGGTACCTCGTGATCCAGCCATGTCTCGCAGCGGCTTCAGGTACCATGTCGACCGCCTCAGGTTTTTGTGGTTTGTGGCCAATGGTCGCTGGTGTGTGATGCGATGCGGTTTCTAGAGAAGGGCTGAAGCAGTGAACAAGACAGACTAAACAGCTGCGCCTCCTCGAAACGTGCGACGACCGTTTGAATACGGGTTCCTTCCTGCCTTTAGCACCTTAGGTAAGAAGTAATTGGAATGGGATGAGGTGAGGAATGGGATGAAGAAGGGGAAGGAAGTAGACTCATCACTCACACT